ATCTACAAATGAAATTCCCGAGCTTGATATACTTAGTTCATCAAGTGACTTTTGTGTATATATCCATTGTGGAAACTTGGGACCTTGATTTGTATTTTCCATAAACAGATTTGTAAGTTGAAACAAAGGAATCCATTCAGGATTGAAATGAAATGAAAAACTTGAATTGCTCAAGTCCAAATATTCTAAATTGCGAAGTTCGTAAAAATGTGTTTCAGATACTACGCCAGAAAAGGTATTAGAGCCAATACTTAAGGAAACCAAGGATGTGAGATTTCCCAAAGTCGAAGGATTGGAACCAGAAAAGGAATTATACCCAATACTTAAGGAAACCAAGGCTGTGAGACTTCCCAAAGTCAAAGGAATAGAACCAGAAAACATGTTGTGGGATAGATCAAGATATTTCAAATTTTGGTGGTTGAACAAACTTGATGGTATTTCACCATGTAAACTGCTCCAGGAAAGATCAAAATAAGAGATGCCACTGCTGAGATTAAACAAGCAATGTGGTAATTTAGAGTTGAAATTGTTGTGAGAAAGGTCAAGAGTTACAAGTGAAGTAAGATTCACATGGTGAAGAGATGAACTAGGACTAATGTTATTTAGATTACATCCACTCAAGCGTAACTCTGACAAAGAAGGGAGCATAGCAAACAACTGAAGCCAATTGGTTTCCTTCTGAAGATTTATAAAACTAAGGTTGAGATATTTCAAGGAAGGAATGTTGAGAAATCCAATGGAGATTATCCATGAAAAGTCCATTATTCCAAGATAAGTCAAGGTAATGGAGGTTAGAGCTAGAAATGACATCTTTGTTAATAGGTGGAAAACTAATAACGTTAAACTCGTTAAAACTCAAATCTAAATGATTTAGAAATTCAAGTTCCAATAAAGATAAGTTGATTTCACCTTCCAGGAATTTTCCAGATAGACTAACTCTTGCAATTCTACTTATGGTGTTATCACACTGAACTCCTTTCCATGCACAACAATCTTTTTCACTTGACCATGTGCCAAGCTCGTTGTATGGATCAAGGACACCTTTTTTAAAGATTAACAACGTTTGTTGATCCTTCTCATTACAGCGGACTTCCTTAAGACTAATAGACATACTTTTTTTTGGAATGTGGTTGCATACAAAAGTATAATAAAAAGGATTGGAGTTTGTGATATAAAGGTCACCATGGTTGGTGGAACAAGAGAAGGCGGATTGTTTCAAATGTTCGAAATTGTTTAGTAATGTTGAGCCACCACTATATATATATATATATATATTATAGGGGAGATCCACTTATTTTAAGAATAAGTTTTAGTAGACTTATTATGTTAAATAACTTATATTATATATGATTCAATAGCTAATTAATTTTTTTTTAATATTTAGATCAAGTCTATAAAATTTAAAAAATTTAAATATTATTTAGTACTTCATTTCATTAATTTAAATAAACGTATAAAATGTTTTTATGATTATCCGTCAATTTGAATTAATGAAATAAAGTATTAAATAATTTTCAAACTTTAAATTTAATTTCGTTAAAATTTAATGTAGAATGTGAGTTATTAAGTAGAATAAATCTAAATGGACATACTCTTAAAGTTAATAAATCTCTCATCTACCTACCTATCTATCTATCTATCTATTTATATATATATATATATATATATATAGAGAGAGAGAGAGTTAATCACCTATATACTGGCAACCAATTATATCTCTTAATTGTGTCATGTCACTATTAAAAGTAAATATATTTACAGTGACATGACATAATTAAGAGATATAATTGGTTATCATGTAAGAAAACTTTACACTGACAATGTATAAGTGATTAACTCATATATATATATATAGAGAGAGAGAGAGATTTTGATTGATTGTTGGCTTTTGAACCCCTAAAGAAGGGGTAACTTTGAACTTGTAATTGTGAAACTCATTTAATCTTTATGTTTTAAAATTATCTTTCATCTATAATAAACTGTCAATTAGGTGTTGTGTCATATAGATTAACGAATAAAACTTTGATGATTAATTTGTATTATTATGAAATATTTATAATAGGTTTGAGAATCATATCCTTTTGTTTTCCTTTTTCATCGAGTAATATTTTTTAATGTTTTTATGCTGGAAATATCAGATCAAAGAAATTAATGTTTACTTTCTTTCTAGACAATTGAAAACAAAATACAATTTCTGCTTGTATATATAAGTTTCAAAGGACTGTGTTGGAATTATACAAATTAAAATAAGGTAAATTATCTATTAATTAATGTTATGTAGCATGGGCAATAAAAACAATGAAGAATGTGATGTAGCTTGGATTTATATCACTATAGAGATTGGTTTTTGGAAAGAATTGGTCCAATTAGTTAGGTTGAAATAATGTAGGCAGGAAATGGCAGAAAATACAAAGCCTTATTCAATCTATTGTTAATAAAATATTGGATGCAAAAATTAGTTTCAAGCTTTATTAGCCACATGTATGAACAAAATTTATGAAATGATGCCGGCACGTTTTGTTTCTTCCATAATGTTCAAGCCGGACTGTATAGCTTTTCATCATCCATACTTGTCTCTAGCTTTTATATGATAGTTAATAAGACGAAGGTAAGTTGTATCTCCAAACAAATAAAAAGGACGAAATAATTACGGCCAGCAACAAAGCATTTTCTTAGAACTTGTTTCTCAATTCAATTGAAATAACCTGTTTGACTAGCTTATCATCAATTTGTTTTTTTTTTTAAGGGTAGTGTACTGATCGAGCCTCTAATTGTTGGAGAGACATTATTCTAGTCTGGAATAATTTCTTTGAAGGAGTCTGTTGGAATGTTGGCATGGTCTCAAAATGTTAAATTTTTGGCTTGACAAATGGATGTTACCATGATGGTATTGATAATGTTGTCAAGGTCTGGGATTGACCTAAAGGTGTTACTGTGACAGTTCAAGATCATCAAGATATAGTATGCATTTGAGCCTTGATGGGTCTTAACTTCTTTCAAATAGCATGGATTGCAAGCTTTGCACTTGGTTCCTAGACTGAATTCTTTATCTAATTAAACTTCGTTAACAAGGAGAAAAGCTAGCAACATTCTCTTAAAAAAATGATATATTATTTATTTATCTTTAACAAAAATACTATACTTTCTATCCATTGTTAGTGATTTTTCAAGGAGGGTGTCGATTTTCATTCTTTAGAGTAACGAAGAGTCATTTGCAAAGTTTAAAGAATGGAAGACTTTAATTGAAACGAAAATCAATAGAAAGATTATTTTGCACCTAAGGGTTTGATGAGTTTTGCAAGGAGAATGGGATTATTAGGCAAAAGAAAGTTTGAGGAATTCTCCAACAAAATGAACTAGTTGAAGGATGAATAGAATAGTGGTGGAAAGAGTTAGATGTTTGTTATCAAATACTAATTATTCTACTAACGTTAATAGATACAAGTGTTAGTGACTTGTATCTTTAACCAAGTAATTAAGAGTTCAAATCTTAACCTTGAATATAAAATAGATTATGTTGGGAGAAAAAAAACACATATTTTGTCCATGCTCACCCCCAAACATGGAAAGTTTGAGAGTATTTGATTGTGTGGCCTATGCTCATATAAATCATGGCAAGCTTGAACCAAGGGCTCTAAAGTGCATGTTCTGGTGTGCCCTCTAGGTTTAAAGGGTTCAGATTATGGGGTATGGAGAAAGGGCAGCCTAGGGTATTGATCAGCAGGGATGTTGTGTTAAGAGTAATAGAAATGTAATACTCAATTGAGAACTTAAGTCGGCAACATCATGATTGGCTAGTGATGAGAGGATTTAGTTGGAGGTGGAGCCTTTGCATGAATTAACAATAAAAGAGACCATTACGGAATTTCAAATTGATCGAGAGGAGCATATTGAATATCTTAATAGACTCAACAAGACTATCTTTTGGATATGCTGATATGGTTGCCTTTGCTCTTATTGCAGCAAAGGAGCTTGAGGGAGATGAACCTTGGAGTTATGAAGCTGTGAACAATAAGCAATCTCAAAATTGTATTGCAGCCATGAATGATGAATTGAGTTCTTTGTATAAGAATGGTACATAGGTGCTGGTTAACAAACCTAAAGGCAAGAGGCTTATTAGCTGCAAGTGGATATTCAAAGTTAAGGAGGGAATTCCAGAGGTGGAAAAGGCCAGATTCAAAGCTAGATTGGTGGCAAGAGGTTTCACACAATGTGAAGGTATTTCACGCATTTATTGATTCAAATTATGTTGGCTGTTTGGACACTAAAAGGTTTTTGAAAGGTATGTTTTTAAGTTTTGTGATAACACTTTGAGTCAGAAATGCAATCTCCAACATGTGGTGTTTTGTAAAGGTGTTTTGTGACCGTCAAAGTAGTATATGCTTGGCCAAAAATCAAGTAAACATACAGATGTTAAACTCCATTTTGTTAGGGAAATCATTGCAAAAGGTAGGCAAGCCTGGAAAAGGTTAGTTCTAATGACAACTCAGCTGATTTGTTAACCAAGGCTCTAGAAGGACCTAGGTTAAAGCATTTTTTGAAGATTTTGCAGATTGTGGAAGATGAAGTCCAGTCAAGTGGAGAAATTGTTATTAATGACTTAGGACTTTAAGACTTTTGGAAGTTATCCTAGAATAATTTCTGTTATTCGCTGAAACAGAATGTAACCGAATTAGTTGGGGATTAGAGAAGCTAGTAAAGCTATAAAATGCTTATAATTGGTTTAAATCAAGAGCAATTAAAACAGCCGATATATTTCTCCTTCTCTTTTTCTATTCTCTGTATTTTCTGGTTTTCTATCTTAGGCTTTACAGAAATTTGTTTTTACGACATCAATCCTTATATAAAAGAAATATATAAACGAATCAGTTATTATTGTTTGCTCGTCATAACAAAGCTAGAAAATTACTAACTTCTATTGTTTGGACCATTCGTGTGTGGTGACTCAAATGTCACCTAGAATAGACATTAGCTAAATTAAGAATATTCTAATAATGTTATAAGTTTATAACGGTAGACATTATTTCATAAACATTTTTCATGATGCAAGATTGTGATGGGTCTGTTAACCTCACTGCATCTCTTTTGTCTGAAATCTAAACTACTGAGGAAATACAGCATCCCAGATAGTAAGTTACAGAGAACATCATTTTGCATGCCTCTCTAACCACAACCCTATAAGTGGCATATTGTCAAAACAAAGAAACCTGTACTCTATTTTTCTTTCAGATCATGCCATGTGACATAAAATACTTTTAAAAATGGTAACTGTTGTGGTATGGCATTTGTGAGACTGGGTAGTTTTATCTTTGGTCTATAAACAAAGCAAAAATTTGCAGATAACGCATACCAACCAATCTTTCGTTAACTTTAGAGTGCAAAAGTTAGTCCAATAGATCTGCTTGATTTTGTTGAAATTTTTGTTCTATACTGCAAAAGCCACATATCTTAATACGTAACTGGTCATTAATTTCCCTGGATGGTTCTTCTTTATTGACCTTTTCATTATGTGTTCTCGATCTTAAGCATAGAATCTCAGATATTAGTTGAATCCGGGATTTAAGAAATAGATCGCCAGATGTTTGCACATTAAGTAAGGCATCCATTGAATCAAATCCCACATGAAGCATAAGAATGTGCACAAATGTATCACTTCTCACTCAAATAAAAAGACAGCTTTATTACACAAAACAACTTATAAAGAGCAAACATATTTTGTATATTACTCAAAACAGTATAAGTGTATCCTGAACAACTACTGTACCTCATCCTTGACCTTCTCGTTGACAACATGACCCTCAGTTTCGGCTTGTTTTATCTGCCTTTCTATATCAGCTTTCTTTTCGAGGAGTGATTCTAGTTTTCCGTTAATTTTTTCAAGCTTTTGCTTAAGTGAGCTAAGATCCTTGGTCTTGTCCTTTCCAGTATCTTTTTTCTTCTCCTTCTTGTCTTTTTCTTCTTTCTTTTTCTTCTCTTTCACTTCCTTCCCACCATCGTTTTCTTTATCTCTTTTTTCACCTTCCTTTCTGATTTCTTCTATATCAATATCCCTTACCGAAACTTCAGCCTTGCTATCCGTTTTCTCACCCTCTTTTTTTCCATCCCGCTCCTCATCTCTATCCTTCTTCTCCTTTTTGTGATCTTTCTCCTTCTTATCCTTTTTCTTTAATGTGCCTGCTTCTTCATCCTTGTCCTTCTTTTCCTTTTTTTTCTCCTTCTCTTTCTTTTTCTTCTTCTCTTCACCATCACCATCTCCTTCTTCTATGTCTTCGTCCTTCTTTTCCTTTTTCTTCTTCTCCTTGTCCTTCTTTTCCTTCTTCTCTTCACCATCCTCCCCATCATCTTTTCTCCCCTGATCATTCTCTGCATCGATTTTGTCATCTTTTTCCTTCTTTTCCTTTTTCTTCTTTCCCTTCTCCTTCTTTTCCTTCTTCTCTTCATCATCCTCCCCATCATCTACTTTTCCCTTGACCTCCTCTGCATCAATTTTATCATCCTTGTCTTTCTTTTCCTTTTTCTTTTTTTCCTTCTTCTTCTCTTCATCATCCTTCCCATCATCTTCTTTCCCCTTGACCTTGTCTACATCAGTTTTGTCAACCTTGTCTTTCTTTTCCTTTTTCTTCTTCTCTTCCTTCTCCTTCTTATCCTTCTCCTTTTTCTTTTTCTCTTCACCATCCCCTCCTTTTTCTTCTATAGCATTTTCTTTTTTCTCTCCCTCCTCATCTTCCTCCTTCTCTTTCTTCTTTTTCTTTGATTTTTCTTCATCTTTATGTTTCTTCTCTTCCTTACATTTTGGATGCTCTTTCTCAACTGATTTAGCCTTCAGTTCCAGTTCTACCTTAATCTTGTCTTCCTTTACATCATCTGGCTTGTCATCCTTGATCTTGATGTCATGGGAGGCTTCCATATCTATGTTATCTTTAAACAGTGATGATGTAAAACCCTTAACTAAATCTGACAGGTCCCTGAAACAAGCATATGTGACAGTAAAGTCAAGCCTTTAAAATTTAAATAAATGTCTTGGTATGATTAACAACAAGACATTAGCTAAACTCCAACATACCATACCCAGTTAATCAAGAGTTTAATAAATACATCTCCCTCGTTAACAATGACAGAAACACACGGACCAAGCTAGCAAATGGAAATCAACCAAGTTCATACAGAATACTCGACAAGGCTGGAAATCAACCAAGTTCATACAGAATACTCAACAAGGCCAATTTAACCAAGTGTCAAATATAAGAATGACATATTGATATATTAAAAAAAAAAATCAACAGATACAAACAAATTTCACTATTCTTAGACACGGAATTAGAAAACACACCAAACTTGGTAAAACCATTAATCAAGTTGAACTAAACTGGTTAAAAATGCAACATCTAACAAAATAATTTCCCAATCAGTTTGACTCCGCATTTTGTTTTTCTTCAATTAGGACATGTAAACATAAGCATAAAACAACAACATATCACCCAAAACAAACTGTTAAAAACAACAAAACAAAAGCTGAATCACTAAAATTATGTACAAGATCTGAGATAACAACCAATTAATTAGCAAACAAAATAATAACCAATTCCAATGACCGAAGGCTCATCCAAACACCAAAGGAAGCAAAAGATGTCAAAGAGGGGACACATCAATATTACACATCCTAATTTGCTTAAACTTGACATAGAAGTACAAAATCCAACATATTATTTTAATCACAAGCATCCAAATCTGAATTAATTCCTCCAAACACGAAGTAGCTGAATTGCCTCTTCCTTGTGAACACTTTTTACATCACATTAAACGAAAGCCAGTCAAACAAACCAAAAGCAGAAGAAATTAAAAACAAATTTCCAACGAAATCTGGCCATAAAAAAGGATCAACAAGATCGACAATATAATCATGCATAAATTCAAACTCAGCTAATTCAATTTTCCATGATGGAAGGCACAGATTATGATCCGAACGAAAATATAAAGTTAGAGAATTAGATGAATAGTTTAAAGTAAAAGTACCTGGGGTGATGAGAGATTGGGTTTGGAGAAACTGAGGAGCAGCTTCTGGAACGTAGGTGACTTGGCATTGTCTTGTGTTTGGGGTATTTATAGTATTTTGCGGATCCATTGAGTGTGACATTATGTGACATGTGGGTCCCACACGCAGTGACGCGTATGCAAGGAAATGTTGAAGAAGTGGTTTTCATTTCTCTTTTCTTCTATGATAAGTTTTGTTGGAGTCACGGCTGAATCACTCACTCACCCACTTTGACGGTGTGTTTTTTCTCTTCTTAGCCGTGTTCTATCCGTGGAATCTTCCCCTAGTTTCGATAACTATTACATAGTATCTACCAAATACTAGTTTTGTGCATTTTATATATAGTAAATATTTTAGTATCTGTATTATAAATGTATATAACTTTTTACACTATTTCGGCTCCATTTGTTAAAAAGTTTTTTTTTTACATAAAAGTATTTTAAGGAAATAACATATTTTTTTTATGTATTTGTTCAAAAAAATTAAATAAGTTTTTTTTCTTTTAAGAAACAATAATTATCTATTTATTAATAAATTACTAGTTTTATGTGCACTTTAGAAAGAAAAAAAAGTAATTTTAAATAAGCTGATACTTTATTTCCATAATTTTTAAAGAATTTTTTGTTTTTATTTATTTTTTATTATATTGTCTAATTAATTATCTAAAACCACTTTCACCTATTATTTATGGCTCTCATATTTAATTTTAAATATTTATTTTTAAATAAAATACACAAAAAATGAAGTAATTTTTTGTAGATTATTATGTTAGTGTGAAATAGGAAAATGTTTAATTTATATAATAATAATAATAATTTATAATAAAAATTTATATCATAATATATAATTTTAAAAAATATATAAAATTAAAAAATAAATGAGAGTTTGATAAAAAAAATCAAAAATAGGTTGAAGATCAATTAAAAACACTTTTATTCAATAATAAAAAAATGCTTCTTTTTAATTTAATTATTATAAGTTATATATAAAGAAAGATGTTTTCTATTAAATAGTTACATTTATATCAAATAGTTTAAAATATTATTATGATATTTATACTATTATCTTCAAATAACTTGATGGGTATAATAAAAAGATTTTAATTATTATAATTAAATAATAACTTAAATATGGTTTTAGTCTCTATAAAATATGTAAATTTTAATTTTAGTCCCTAAAAACTTTTTTTTTTAATTTTTATCCTTTTAAAACTTGTAAACATTATTTTTAATCTTTGTAAAATATTTTTATTCTTGTGAGTAAATTTTAATTTTAATCTCTACAAAATATTTTTTTTAATTTTTTATCTCGTAAAATCACTATTTTTATTCTTAACAATATTTTAAGATAAATAAATAATATTTATTTAAAAATCTATTAAAAAAATTTATAGATATCACATACTAATATAAGTTAACATCATTTAACCTTTTATTAAATAAATGAATAAATATTTAAAAATAATTATAAAATAACATGAACTAAAAATAATAGTTCTAAAATGTAAAGGAATGAAAAATAAAAAAAAATTACAGGACTAAAATCAAAATTCTCATTTTATAGAAAATAAAAATATATTTAAGCATTAAATAATTATAGAATTTATTTCATATATTTATATAAATTAAAATGCTACTCACTAACTTCTAATTTTATTATCTATAAAATAGAATTCAATCAGAATTTACCATAAATCAACACAGTACTCAATAAATGAGATAGATCCTTATTATTAACTTGCAACTTTTTAATTATCACTTACTTTTCAGCTAGAAATAGTTGTTAAGCGTGATAGAACCTGTCTCTTAAGCTTGGCAAACACTAAAGGAAAAAGGCTAGCAAACCTGTCCGTGTGCCACACAGATTCTCAAAGTCAAAACACAAGAAAGGGATATGGCAATAGAGAAAGAGAGACAGACATGGTTCCTTCTTAATTTGAAGTTACTTTATGGTCCAAGTTTCATAATAAACCAACAAATTGATACTTGCTTTGTTGTATTGCCGACTTGTTAGTTGGTATATAGTAAAAGTACAAATAATATAAAATCAATGGTTCTTGGATGACGCCATTCTACGCAGTTTTCTTAATGCTGTTATAAAAAGTTACATGTACAATAACTTCCATAAAACCATAGTGTAAAATATTCTTATACAGCTTCCAATAAGATTTAACCATGATAAAGTAAATTTCTATTAAATATTTGTGCAAAAGTAATTTACAATGATCTTACATATAAATTAAACTCTCAAAGAATCCCCCAAAGAATTTCTTATAGAACTTCGTCTAAGCCATAGTTCATACACAACCATGTAAAATGCATCAAAGTCGAGCGGGGGTGAATGCCATTGGAAGTGTTTCCTCGCCTTCATAACATTGCTTTGTAACATCATATATTTATTAGAATTGATGATATCCTTGAGGATCTTTTTCAGTAAAGGAATATCTAAGGTAGTGACAACAACTGAAAAGCTCTTCCAGTTTAGCACATCAGCAAATGGAAGGTCATAGTAGTTGGCAATGATCACAGGAACGCAGCCATAATATAGAGAATCTCCGATGCGAGCTGTGTTCACTTCAAAGCCCTTAACGTGAAGGCAGAACTTGCTTCCTAGCAATTCATCTGCGTATGGTGTTTTAAGCCGTCCATGGTGAACAAAGATTTCTGAATCATTTTTCCATGTCTCAAGAAGCTTTACACGTACAGGGGAATTAACTCCTCCAGCAAAGAAAGCTAGCCTTTTCCTGAGATAAGAAAAACACAGCAAAATGAGTTATACTGCACCAATGAGATATACTGAATAAAATCATTGTTATGGTGCTGCATCACTTATAGATTGATATAAGACTTTTTTTCCTTTTTCCTCTCCATGCCTACTGCACCAATAAGAAAAGATTGGTTTAATCGAAAATGCAACCGAATGTTTGAGAAATTATCCTCTTATTGGCTTCAGATTATTACACTATCAGATACAACAACAACCAATGGCTTTTCTAGCTATGTGGGGTGGGCTACATGAACCAAACAATGTAAATTGTAATTGGTCAAGTACATAACAAATATTAGATTAAATTTTGAATAACCTTTTGGATCTTGTAATTAACTTTATCTTTTAGTCTTTATAATTAAAAACATTTCATTTTAGTTCCTATGCATACCATTTTTGTTTCTTTAATATTTATAATTTCATAAACTTTACCTTTTAATTTCTATAACAATAGACAATAGAGTTTAAAATGAAACAAGAATAGTATGTATAGAGACTAAAACAAAACGTCTTTGACTATAGAAACTAAAAAGTAAAATTCATGAAATTCTAGGGACAAAAAAGGTATTTGAAACTGTTTATTTTACAAGGATCTATGCTTCTAGGTTCTAATTTTAGAGTAAAATTTTCAGTAAATCCAATTGATTGTTGGCATCATGTTGAAATCATATGCTTGCAGGTCATTCACTAAATCTAAATGAAACTAAAGTATAATTTTTAGCTTAATGGTCACTTTAATATCAATGGTTAATCCGACACTTACAAAAGATGATCTGATTAATTGACTAAGTGCAAATAGTCCACAAACGTATTTAGTTACAAAGTGAAAGACATGATAGGTTAGCATGCATATTCAGAATCCTCACTAGCAAGAGGAAGAAGTGCTACTACCTCTTTGATGAGACAAGGTTAGGGGGATTTCCTTTTCTTGGCCAAATTTGTGGTAGGCATGTATCCTTGTGAGCAATATACCCAGTTAGGAAATAACTAGATGAGCATACAACTTGAATAGCATTGAATTTCACATCAGGTGCTTTATCCATGGCAGACCTTCCAATTGAATGACATGCAACATAAAAGTGATCAGCACCACCTGTGCGGTTCCAATATGGATACTTGTGACTGATATTCTGAATGTAGTCTCTAATGAAGTCTTGTATGCCTCTCACACCAACTCTACGGTCGTGCCGTAATCTTGCTATGGAAAAGGGGAGAAAGAATAGATTTGCTTCTGTTGGGTCTTTTGTAATGAAATGGCTCTTCATAAGAACCTTTTTGAAGTAACTTTCACTGGCATAATTGCCACCAGGTTCAGATTCCACAGGCAAAAGCACGTTTGCAAAAGGATCATCAGTCCTATGAGGATAAACATATATCTTTAAGCTCCTATTCATTTCTTTATAGTCTTCCATAAATATATCTCTATCATGGAACAAGTCGTTGTTATTCTCAAATTCTCCTGAACCATAGAAAAACAAATTTCCCGGACACTGGAGTTAACAAGGAAAAGTTTACACACATTGACTGTAGCTTCATCAACCTCCCTACTGAACCCACTAACAGCAAAGTAATAAAGTATGCTTAATGATGAAGCACCTAAAGTTAATCAATGTGGTAACCCCTTAAAAATCAAAAAACTGAGGTACAAATACAACTTTAACCTTTCAAGTTATCTTGCCTAACAACCTGGTTGGGTAAATTTCTCCATAAACACTTCTAGAAGAAAAACTAACGAGAAAAAATGAAATAAACTTCTCCATAAACTAAAATTAGCTTATGAATAAATTCATCCAAACAAACCCTAAACCTCTTAATGTAAGTACTATTAACAACATCATTATTGCAAATTGCAAAATAAAGGAAATGTTAAGATAACCTATTATGCATTCAAACCTAACTAAAGTGCAAAATAGAACACAGAAAACCAGATATAGTCTTTTTTTTATCCATAGAAATTACAATCACAGTATTAGGATTCAAATCTAAGTCCCTGTACATACTATCCCAACTCCCACCACTAGGGTCACCTAGTGGTTAGAAAATCAGATGTAGTCTTTTAGTGTGTAAAAGAGTTACATTAAATAGGCATGGAGAGGAGTAATATATTGTTACCAAATTAAGTTTTGGCACTTAATATGGTGTTTGATACATATAACACATATTTTTTCGAAATTACGCATTCTGTTACCTTCGGCAAATGTGTAACATACTTTTGAAACTTTATACATTAGAATTATAAATGTTCATCATCCCTCTTACAGGAAGCATATAATAAAATCCACATAAATTTTTACAATGCTAAAGCCACACGAAAAACATTAAAACACCACCCAGAAGAAAATTAACAGAAAAGAAGCGTAAAAAAGGAAAGTGTTGCTTACCCTTTGAGCTGAATCGCGGTGGCAGTGGCAGACCCCGTTGACTCTGTGATCTGAGGTCATACCCCAGTTGAAAAGTCGGAGATTTGGCGGAGTCGGAAGCATTGTTGTGGAAGAAAGGGACGAAGTGAGGTGTGGGAGTAGAAGGGGTGGTGAAAAAGGGAGAGGATGATTTGAAATGAGTGGAATAATGGGTGAAGAGGTTGGAAGTGGAGTAAATGTGGAAGAGGATAAAAAGAGAGGTGAAGAGAGCTAAGGTTGTGGGGATGAAGAAGAAGCCCCTGAGAGAAGATGCGACACGGCGTTGGGAGTAGTAGTGGAGCAAGGAAGAAGAACGAACCATGGCATGGGAGAATGGAAGCAAGGAAAAGACACACACACAATTTGGTTCAATTGAATGCAGGTTAACCATGGGTGAAGAGGTAATTTAAACTCGACTAATTCTTTTTATTATTATAAATTTAACTAAATTACATTATAAAAAAAATATTATTTAAAACTAATTCTTATTTTTAAATTTATACTAATAAATTAAAATTATTTAACGTGATTTAATTTAAAAATATTAAAATCTTTTGAGTGGTAAACTAATCAAAATTATTTATCAAAAATTAAAACAAAATTGTTCAAGCTTATATAAGTAGTTACTGTAAAATCACTTGTCGATGTTTTATTTACTTGAATTATAATTTGTACTCAATTAAATTATTTTTATACTCTAAATCAAGTTTTTTCTTGTGATTTGAGTTGAATGAAAAATTTTATAATAATTTAATTTTTAAAATCGAACTTAAGTTGAATTAGTTTTTATAAAAATAAAAAAAAAATAGATGAGTATTTTTATAGTCTAGTTTAATTTATTTTTCTAATAATTTAGTTTAAAATAATTTTTTAATATTCCAATCAACTAGTAAGGAATTCATTTCAAATTAATCAATTCTCTCAATTTAAGTTATATTTATTAGTGGGCTCAAGACACTTTGTATCTCTATATTTTATTTAATAAAAGTATTTAAAAATTATCAATTTTTAGTGATCAATTGATGTTGTATTTGACCTTCAAACATAAGGATCTTGATTTCAAATCTTATTTTTGTAAGAATAATTAATTTTTAATATTATTTTTTATTATTTAAAAATTTAAGGATAAAATTATCAATAAAAAGATATGTACCAAATAAGGTAATTCCCTTTATTATATGTAGTGTTAAATATTTAGAAGGAAAAACATGTAACCCTTAAAAATATGTCATTTTTTCTCTTTACATTTAACTAAAAATAATAAAGATAGTAATAAACACTTAACTAATTATTATAATTAAATAATGTCTTAAATATGTTTTTAGTCTCTAAAAATACACAAGTTTTGATTTAGTCTTTAAAAAATTTTCTTTGTTTTTTCTAAAATTATAAGTTTTATTTCTAGTCTTATATTTTGATCTTTATAAAATGAGTAAATTTTGATTTTGATCATTATAAAATATTTTTTATTTTTATTCTTCTAAAATCACTATTTTTATCTTTAACGATAATTAAAGTAATAAATACTATTTATTTTAAATACCAATTGGAAGTGTTTGCTCACCTTTAAAACATTGCTATGTAACGTCATATATTTATTAAAGGTAGTGAAAAGAACTGAAAAGCTCTTCCACTTTAGCATATAAGCGGAAGGTAGGTCACAGTAGTTGGTAATGATCATAGGAACGTAGTCATAATATAGTAGTCAGAAATATTTTTAAAAAAAAATTAAGAGAATAAATTAATTTTTAAAATTTTTTATTTATATTTTAAATATTTAAATTTAATTTATTTAGATTATTTGTGGATTTTATTTCTTATTTTAGAATAAGATAATATCAATATTTGTTTCTTGTATCACAACTTTTCTTTATAAATAGAGAGCTCATGAATAAAATTATATTATACTCCTTTAATAAAAATATATTTTTATAAAATAACTCATCATTAGTATCTAAAGCAAGGTTTTTATGACTCGTAAAAATGGAAGTTGAAATAAATTTTTCACAAATTTTTTCACTTATTTTTTTTATGGAGAAGGATATGATCTTTGGATAGTGAGAATGAAAGCATATCTAGAGATTTTGGATCTTTGGGAAGTCATAGAAAAAGATTATGATGTTTTCACGCTAACAGACAATCTCATGGTAGCTCAAATAAAAATTCACAAAGAAAGGAAAATTAAGAAGACAAAGACAAATAGTTGTTTATTTGTTAGTGTCTGTCAAAATATTATCAGTCGGATCATGACTCTCAAATCGGCAAAAACAATTTGTGATTACCCGAAGGAAGAATATGTTGTAGATGAAAGGATTCAAAGCACATACAAGTGCTAAATTTAATAAGAGAATTTGAATTACAAAGAGTGAAGGAGTATGAAACAATCAAACAATATTCAAAAAAATTGATTGGCATTGCTAATAAGGTAAGGCTACTAGTAACACAATTTCTAGATTCTAGAATTGTTGAAAAAATTCTAGTAACCGTAATGAAAGATATGAAATTTCAATAGCAACCTTAAAGAGCACAAAAGATCTGAGTAAGATCACTTTGACAAAGGTGTTACATGCATTACAAGCATTAGAACAAAAGAGACTTATACAAGAAGTTGTGGAGGGTGTATATTTAGCCAAGTGAAAGAACAACAATGGTGACAAAAACAAGAAGAAAGAATCATTCCAAGAGAATGGCCAAAACAATAGCACTTAAAAATTTTCAACATGTCCTTATTGCAAAAGAAACTAGTCATCCAAAACAAAGATATTGGTGGAGGCCTAATGCAAAATGTTACAAGTGTAAACAATTAGGACACATGAAAAATGTATGTAAACTTCACAAGCAACAAGAAGTCAACATTGTTGAAAATCAACAAGAGGAAGAAGAACAATTATTATCAATGTCATGCTTTACAACTAAAAAACCCTCAAACCCTAAACTTATGATTGAGAACTCTTCAAAGAATTAAACAAAACTAATATTTCTAAAGTCCAAATGGGGAATGGAACACACCTTGTGATAAAAGTCAAAGGAACATTTGTTATTAAAAGTCATTCAAATTTAAAATTAATATATAATATTTTATACGTTCCTAATATTAATCAAAATTTATTGAGTGTTGCTTAGTTGTTGAAAAAAGGCTACAAAGTGTTATTTGAAGATAAAATTTGTGTGATTGAAGATATAAACAATAAAGAAGTGTTCAATGTTCATATGGAAGGTAAGAGTTCATATAAATAACTATAATGTGCATATTGTGCTCGCTATTCAGAATTTGTTTGTTTCTACCAAGTAGTAGATTCTTGTGACTGATTTTGGCGTTGTGTGCTTTTATGTTTAAATGTTTTTTATGCATTGTGCAAATGAATGTTCATTTGATTAATTGGTAAACAAACATGTTTGTTTTTGCAGGTGTTTGTGTTAGTCTATTAGATTGTACCTCCGAGTGGTAAAAGCATCATGAATCTACTTAGGTACAACCTTGGAAGCATTTTTTGAGAGCTTCTCTATTAGAAAATACTTTTTATTTTTAGTAGAGAAACTTTCAAAATAACTTCTAGCTCTTATCCAAACAGGCTTCATGTTGTGTTCATTACACTTGCGCATAGATTGTGGAGGGTTGTTTAAAGTTATATGTGCATGTTGGGCTTGTCATTTATAGTTCATTTGTTTTATCGATTATTATATTCTTGTAACTAATTTTTGCATTGTGTGATTTTATGTTTAAACAATTTCTTATACATTATGAAAATGAATAATCTTTGGAAAATAAATGTGTTAGTTGTTGTGCTTGTTTGTGTTAGTCTCTTAGATTGTACCTCTCAAGTGACAAAAGCACCATGCTAATTCATTGCACTTGCTAATTAATCGGACAAAATTAGAATACTATTTTTTTTTTGACAAAAATAGGATTATAAGGCATAAGAAATGCTAGATAATTGCCTAAATTTGATAAAAAAAATATATTTACATATTTTTCAATTATCAAAATACACCAAGTTTAGAATTTTGTTTGTCCACAAGCAAACATAACCAAGCATAGTCTCTATTAGAAAAAAAATTGAGTAGATTATGAAAAAATTCAAGTTGATGTTCTTCTTCAAAGAGTAAAGCTCCAATGTTAAGTCCATCTTCAATCTCTGCAAATAGACTCACCTAGAATCCTTCTTGATGGGCTTGGTTCACCTCCTCTAGTTTTCCCTAATCCAAAAATGTGCACCATGTCTGCCACCACCTCATGCCCACCATGACGCCTTATTTTGGCCCCCTTTTCTCCCTCTCAACCCACTACACCCTCCACTCCCTCCTCCTCTCCTCTCTCCACAAAAGGCTTCTCAAATCCATCGTAAAGAAACTATGCAAAACTTTTTTCAAACTTGCCACTAACGCCACCTAGCGTGACCTTCTCTCGCACATCTTCCAACAAGTAATATCCCCAAGGCACGACTATAGGAAATCTTGGCATTGTTAGAAAAAAAAATGGCTAAACCAAGAAGGGGTGAATATGATATTTTCAAATTTCTTTCTAAATAGGTGAGTTCACCTAATGTACAAAATATTTTAGAATAGGTTAATCAAACCAATTGGTTAGTTAATGTCTTCAATTTTATGATGATGACAAACTCACTCTAATTTCTCATGAGGTTCTCAGAAAGGGTTTCAAACCTCTTTTCAATAAAACTTTTTTCAAAGCTCACTCACAAAGTTTTTCATTACTCGAAGTTCTGAGAATGAAAACCAATATATAAAGTTTTCTAACTAAAATAATCAATTATTTTGAGTGATAATCGATTATTTTGTTCTTTCCAAATATGAAAATCTACCTAGAACAAATTAATTAACTATTTTGAGTGATAATCAATTATTTTCGAAAGTTTTTTATGAAATAATTGGTTATTATAGCAAAGTTTTTCAGGTTACTGAAAAATAGAACAAATAATTGATTATTACTAAAAAATAATTGATTATTTCAAGTGAAAATTTAATATCTTAATTTTTCATACCAGTTCTCTTTTCAAATCATTTTTAAAACCTTATTATCATCACCAATCATTAATCTAAATGAAGAATTAAAATTTAAGCAAAAGATTTTGCACTTAATCTATGCACAAAGTAACACAAAAAAATAAAAACAAACACCAAATTACAACTTTGCACTCTTCTTCAAGAGGCTATATATTGTATATTTGTGATCATCAAAACTCATCATTTATAAGTTTTTTATCTTGAGCTTGATCAACAAGCGCATGCCAAACTCTATTGGATTGTATTGGGTAGTAACATTATTATGCCTATTGCGTCTAAGTTGTGACAACCTTTCTTGGCTACTCTTGAGTGCCAAAATTATCATGTTGCGTTCATTGCACTCGTGTAGATA